ACAGGATAATTTGAGTAAGGTTTCTGAATAAATTTTCTAAAATTTCTAAAATAATAGATCCAAATGACCTATGACATGACATTGAAAGAAGGAGAAAAGGACGGTTACAGAATGAAGATGAGTACATTTTTCACATAGCTAGTGCTGCAGAGAGGAGTGATCAGCATTCCAGTTTTTCAAGGTCAAAGAATACTCATGTTGATGGATTCCAAAAACCTACATCTATTGAAAAATAAAATTTTAGAAAATTTATTTTCCCACATCTTTAAAGTAAAATGACCAAGGAAAAATTGAAGACAGAAGCATATTCATCTTTCTCATATTATATATTCTAAACAATATTCAGTCTGCATTCACCAGTACCAACTTTGTAGAAGATTTAGTTTTACAGCAGAATTGAGAATAAAATATAGACATTTCCCATGTACCTCTTGTTCCCACATGTGGACAGTCTTCCTACTTAGCTTTCCCCACCAGAGTGAGCATTGTTACCACTGATGAATCTACCTGGGCAGTAAATAAATAAACTCTCTAGTTTACCCCTGTGTTCCCCCTTTAGGAATGTGCACTCCATGCCTCTAGATAAATGTTTAATAACATGTGTCCATCATGACAGTTTAACACAAATTATTTCATGGTCCTGAAAGTTCTCTAGACTTAGATTATTCATAGTCCCTCCTTTGAAACCCACACTAATCATGGACCTTTTCAATCTCTTCTATATTTCTTACTAGATTCCCAGGTGACTGAGTGGTAAGGAATCTGCCTGCAGATGCAGGACATCCAGGTGACGCGGGTTCAATCCTTGGCTCAGGAAGATCCCCTGGAGGAAGAGATGGCAACCCACTCCAGTATCCTTTCCTGGAAATCTACGGACAGAGGTGAGCCTGGAAGGCTACAGCCCGTGGGATCACAGATACTCAGACACAGCTGAGCACATATGAACATTTACCTACACCAAAAAGTCATAATGTAAAAATCCTACTTTTTGTAGCTTTTTCAAATGGGCTTCTTTCACTTAGTAATGAAGGAGGAAACAGACAGAGCTGGACTCCTTCTTAGGCCAGGCTGCGAGCATCAGGCTACACGCACGGTCACCCTCCCAGTGGACTCTGAGCTTTGCGCCCCGGTGTCTGTAGAAGTGGCAAACCAATGGGAAATCAGATCCCACCCCGCCCCCCCCCCATAAAAGAGCCTCAGGACTTGGACTTGGACTCTGTTACCTAAAAGAATATGTTAATTATCTCTGTAAGAGAACAAAGTGGTTAATTCCATTCTGTTTACTGGGATATGACCACAGGCCTGTTGATAAATATCCACTATTTATTTAGTCCTGTGACACATGAATCATGGGTTAACTTTGATCATATCATTCTTTTACCTTGTCCAGATTAGTTTCAAGGAATTTGGGGAGCTGGGTTTGAGCAAGTACACTTAGGGTATATAAAGTTTTCACAAAAACTGTTCAGGGTCCTTGGCTAAGAGGAGTCTCTGCCTTGGCCACACCGGTGTAATAAACTGCACTCCAATATCTGCACTGTCCTTCTGACTTAGTTTGTTTCCCCGAAAGCGTGGCTACAAAAGTAAAATGCAGGGAATGACTGTCAATGTATTTTATGCCTTGAAAGCTTAACATGCAAAAGCTTAAGAACTACCTCTGCGCCTATATTCCTGCTGAGTAGATAAGTTCATCAATACAATTTTTAAAATTCCATACATAATTGTTAATATAATATTTGCACAAATATAAAGATCAACATGGACACAGCAGGAGAAGAAGAGGGGGACCAATTGAAAGGGTACCATTGACATATATACACCACCATGGGGCAAACATTGGGGAAGACTCCTGAGAGTCCCTTGGATTGCAAGGAGATCCAACCAGTCCATCCTAAAAGAAATCAGTCCTGATATTCATTGGAAGGACTTATGTTGAAGCTGAAACTTCAATACTTTGGCCATCTGATGTGAAGAACTGACTCATTTGAAGAGACTCTGATGCTGGGAAAGATTGAAAGGGGGAGAAGGGGATGACAGAGGATGAGTTGGTTGGATGGCATCACTGACTCAGTGGACATGAGTTTCAGCAAGGTCCAGGAGTTGGTGATGGACAGGGAGGCCTGGAGTGCTGCAGTCGATGGGGTCGCAAAGAGTCAGACCCAACTGAGCAACTGAACTGAACTGATGGTGAAAATAGGTAGCTGGTGGGAAGCTGCTGTTTACCACAGGGAGCTCAGCTTGCTGCTCTGTGCTGAGCAGAGGGGTGAAATGGAGACCACGGGAAGGAGGTCCAAGAGGGAGTAGATTTATGTGTAATTATGGCTGATTGATGATGTCATACAGCAAAAATTAGCACAACATTGTAAAGCAACTATACTCCAATAAATATATATATATACATACATATCTATATGTCTCAAAAGGAAAATAAGCTAAACAGACTGGTCACCCAGTGGTGGAGAATCCATCTGACACTGCAGGAGACAAGGGCTTCATCCCTGGTCCAGGAATACTCCACATGCTGTGGGGAGACTAAGCCTGTGCCCCACAGCTGCTGAGGCTGGGCGGGGCAGCTTGCTCTTTTCCATGGGCAGGAGGCAAAAGAAAAATGCTCACCATCGCTAAACAATAAGAAATGCAGAACAATGCTACAGTGATGTATCACCTCATGCCAGTCAGAATAACGATGAGCAAAAAGCCCACTAATAATATCATAAATGCTGATGGGGCTTGGAGATCAGGGAATCTCTTACATGGCTGGAGGGAATGTAAGCTGGTGCAGTCACGTGGGTGGACCGTGTGGAAGTTCCTTAAAAAATATAACCTCCTGACATTTAACCAAATGAATTCCATGAAAAGTAGACAAAAGAGATTAATCGACAAATTGACAAACTTTACAATTTTTAGTAAATCATCTGCAATTCTGAAATGACCAGTTTTGATCTAGAATTTCTAAATTCTCTAAATTAAATGTGTAGGAATACACATACACTCACATATTCCTTCTTGGTTTTCTCACTGCTAACATGTACACCTTCAGATATTTATATATTGTATTCAATGTGTGTTATATAAGTCATATTATGCATATATCTTCAGATATTTATATATTGCTTTCAAAGTATGCCAAAGCCATGAGAAAACAGTTCCTTTAAGCCTTACAAGACACATGTGTGAAGAATTATACAGGGTAAGAATTTATAAATCTTGGTTCAGAATTTTCCCATCATTACTTTTGATTATTCTTTTTGTGACTTTGTTAAACTTACATTTGCTTAAAGGAGCCCCTGAACAGTTTGAGCTAACAGAAGAACGAAGGACAACTGCAGCAGGTGAGTTTATGACTCTGAGTTTAGGTCCTCAGAGAACTCACAGCAAGCCTTGAGGGCCCTTGAGGAAGGCCAAGGCTAGAACCAGGCAGAGAAAATTCCAGTACTTCGGGTTCAGACCTGACCCTGGGTGAAGTGCTGTGGGTCCCACAGGCTGAGTGTGGAGGGGTCCATTCAAAGAAAGATGAGCAGGATTCTGGTGAGCTCAGAGGGTATCACTGAAGGGGGGCCTGTGCAGTAGACCCTGGGGTTCAGCAAGACTGCTGGTGTCAAGGAAGGGGTCATCTAGAGCAGGTGCTCACAGGACTGGCTGCTGTGAGTTCAAGGACCTGCAGGCTGCCTGCTCCCCAGACAGACGCAGAGGCAGCAACAGCATGGAGCAGTTCGGGGGAGCTCTCAACAGTGCTCTGTGTGATCCTTCTTATTAGAACCGTCACAATGTCCAAGTAGATAAAAATGGGAGAGGAGATACAACATAGAAATGGTGAGAAATACATGAAGTTATGAGAGGTTTAACGCCAATAAGGAACTAATTTCTACAGATGCCATCCCCCGTGCTTCAAATAGTTTAACATTACGTTGCCTTTCCTGCAACCTTAAATAGGTGGAAGAGGTTAATGCTGGTGGTGCATTAACCCTTCATTCTTCCAACAATTGTAACACTGAAAAACCATTCAGTTTTATTAATCAAGACACATTAATTTTACACAGATGGAATAAAACCTTTTACAATTGTTCTTTGATCCTTGATTAAAATACACATTACAAGCTTCTAGAAACTTTCCTGTTTCTTTGATGAAATGATCAGAGAATGTGATTTATATGGTTTACAAAATGGAGGCTAATTTAGTAAACATGGATAGACATTAATTATATTAATATGACTTTTCCAGAAAGAGTTTTCTATACTTACATCAGATAGGTGTCCTTCCTTCAAGCCTGCCACATAATATGCATGATTTCTCTTTGCTGCTGTTATAAAAATACCTTAGATTTTCATGAATTATCCTTGGTTCATGCTTAAAAAGCAACTGACATAATTATTGAAAACTTAGAGCAAACTTCTATCTCACTTTGAATTATTCCCTGAAAGCTTACATCATGGTAACCACAGAGGTGTTTGACATCAGTGACAAATACATCCATTCAGAGGTTTACTGTGTATATAGCATGACTGTGTTCTTAATCTTATAAATTGGAGGATAAATGTAAATGATTCCCACTTAATATAGAAGGGCTTCTTACCATTGGGCAACAACCATCAAAAACATAAGTTCATATATACAGTAGAAACAAATCACAGCACGTAGTCATTTGAGAGTTCAATTACATTCATTTTGGTTCCTTAACAATCTAAAATAATGTTAACATAAGCAAGGATACATGAATAATAATTATACCTCTGCAAATATCCACCATTTCATCTTGTGATCCATACTAACATATCAATTTTGTATGTTTTACTTATGGAATACATGCTACAGTGTTTCTGCTTAGAGTAATTCAACAAAACTGGTACAAATAAAATGCTTTCTAGTATGAATTCTCTGGTATTGAGTTACGTTTGATGTCTGATTAAGCAGTTTTCTACATTTTTTTATTTCATTCATGTATCTTTTGAAGAAAACACTCATTTTTTCAAAGTTGTATATTTAGGACCAAATTTTTTTATCAGTGATTCATTTCTAGGCTTTCTCTGCAGTATGAATTCTCTGATTGTGAGTGAGGTGATGGCTGTGAGGAAATCCTTGGCCACATTCCTTGCATTTCTAACATTTCTCTGCCGCATGCTCTCTGATGTCGAGAAAGACTCTGGGAAAAGGCTTCGCCACATACTGTACATTTATAAGGTCTCTCCCCGGTATGGATTCGCTGATGTTTAGTTAAAGCTGAACTCTGCTTAAAAGCCTTGCCACATGCTGTACATTTATAACGCCTCTCTCCAGTATGGATTCGCTGATGTTTAGTTAAATTTGAACTCTGCTTAAAAGCCTTGCCACATGCTGTACATTTATAAGGTCTCTCCCCAGTATGGATTCGCTGATGTTGAGTAAGAAAAGAATAACGGATAAAGGCTTTGCCACATTCTGTACATTTATATGGTCTTTCCACAGTATGGATTCGCTGATGTTGAGTTAAAGTTGAACTGTGCTTAAAAGCCTGGCCACATGCACTACATTCATAAGGTCTCTCCCCAGTATGGATTCGCTGATGTTCAGTTAAATTGGAACTCCACTTAAAAGCCTTGCCACATGCTGTACATTTATAAGGTCTCTCCCCAGTATGGATTCGCTGATGTGCAGTTAAAGTTGAACTCCGCTGAAAAGCCTTGCCACATGCTGAACATTTATAAGGTCTCTCCCCAGTATGGATTCGCTGATGTTCGGTTAAAGCTGAACTTTGCTTAAAAGCCTTGCCACATGCTGTACATTTATAAGGTCTCTCCCTAGTATGAATTTGCTGATGTTGAGTGACACATGAACAGCAGATAAACACTTTGTCATATTCTGTAAATTTGAATGGATTCTCCCCAGCATGGATTCCCAGATGTTCAGTTAAATATGAACTCTGATTAAAGGTTTGGCCACATGCTGGACATTTGAATTGTTTCCTTCCTGTATGAACTTTCCTATGTCTACTTCGATTTGGTGAGTTACTAAAGACTTTTCCACATGTATTATACTTGCAATATTTCTTCTTACTCTGAATTATCTGCTGTTGAATAAGCTTTAAAGATTGGTTAACAACTTTACCATAATCATAACAATCATAAGTCTTCTCTCCAATATCCATACACTTATACGTATGAATAGTAAGATTTGAGCTTGGATAAAGTATATTCCTACACTTATGTTTAGAATTGTTGTCTGAAACTTGATGTCCCTGTTGTTTCATGAGATATGAGTCTTGGTCCACATTATGCCCAGTTTCATTGCATGAAGAGCTTCTCATTCCATCATGTATACTCTTATAATTATTGGGGGTAGAGTTCCTGCTTAAGGCATTCCTCATTTTGTTACAGTTGGAAAGTTGTTCCACACTAATTATACCTCCATATGTATTGAATAATGATGGTTGAATAAGGTCTCTCCCATTATTATCAACATTACAGATTTTGGAACAAGGAGAAAATAGTTGCTGGTTCAAGAACAAGAAACCCTCGTTAAAGGATCCCTCAAATTGACTGCATTGGGAATTTTTCCCCTCATGTTTAAGCTTCTGATTTCCAGACATGTTTGAATGTATATTTAACAGACAGCTATGCTCAGAGTGTAGGTTTGAAGGAGTATTTGCAGGAGAGACTAGATGACTTTCCAGATTTCCCACATTTCCCTTCAGAGAACATGTATGTTTCAAGAGATGATGTGGGACTTTGCTGACAAATAAACACTTATCTGCAGATGTTGATGACTGAAACTGATCATCTGAAATTGGTTTTTCCTTATTTGATTCACATCCTTGATTTCTTTTGGCGGTAATGTTTAGTTTATGGGAAACTGAACCAACTTGGTTGTGTCCATCATAACATACTCTCCGCTCTTTATATGCCCTCATAGATTTCCAGTCTTTGGTTAAATGTAAATGTGCAAGGTGAAATCTTTCATATATTCCTAGCTTTGCTGTTGGGAGTAAATCTTCTAAGCCTGGCTTTTGGGTCCTCAAACCCTGGGTGTTGTGAGAAGACACAGCTGAAAGATACCCAAAAAAATAAGTTATTCTACTTACTATTTTGGGGGAATATAGTCTACAATTTTCATAAAATTGGCATACACTTGGCTAGATTAAGCCTAAAACCGAGATAGAAGGAGTCAGGATGGCAGAGGCTTCGGAAGACGTGGAGTTCATCTCTGTCCACAAAAGTATCAAGAATACATCTTGAAGTGAAAAAATTCTCACAGAGCCCTGCCGAACACGGGCAGAGGAACTTGGACACCCGAAAGGACAAAAAAGATTACTGCTGAGCCAGGTAGGACAGGAGAGTGATGGAGGAAAGGGAAGAGGAAAAGAAGCCGAATGGGACCCGCAAAACCCTGGGGCGATCTGAAGAGAGGAGATGTCTCCACATCCAGGGAAGCCCCTTCTTGATGGGAGCTCAGTTGGGACAGAAGGGGAGGCTTATTCTCTGTGGGAAGAGAAGACGGCAACGAGCGTGCAGGACAGAGTGAGACCTGTATGCAGGGTACTGACCCCTGCCCTGCCCACCCAGCCTGAGAGGGTGTCCTCCGCTGCAGACAAGGCCTGGGTGCTGGAACGTGGGGTTCGGAGAATAGACCCAGGCAGAGGACTACAGTTGGCCATGAGGAGACATCCTGAGGGGACGGGAGGGAGGGAGGAGCTCTGCAAATGGGATGCTTGTGGAGGAAGCCTGAACCACCAGAGAAGCAGAGCGGCGCTGTTGAGTGATGCCCAAAGGGAAGAACCTCCTTGCAGCCTCTCTGCCCCTCTGCCTGTCCCTGCCTCTCCAGGCACTAGGGATGGCACCCACCTCGGTGGGTGATCTCATGACCCTCACAGCTGCTTCCTCCTCCCCAGTCTCCTCCCCACCAGGGTAGACTCATGGGCTCCAGGGGCACCTTCAGAGCACACGCCTGTGGGTGGTCCCAATGTATAGGTGGTGCTGAAACCACAGGTGAGCCCCAAGGCCCTGCCACTAAGCAAGAAAAACTGAGATCTCTCCTTGCATCTCTACAAACCATGGTGTTACACCCCACAACTGGCTTGGTAAACTGAGCCCCAACAGAACATCTGCATGGAAATGAGGCTCTGGCAGTCAAGACCAGCCTGGCTTTAGGAACTGTAGACTTTGTAGGCACGCACATGAAGCATTTGGGCCAAGTCACAGTCTACGTTGCCCGCATAGTACCGCAGCGGGTCCAGCTCCACAATGAATGTACACCTGGGATATGACTACAGTGGATCTCTGCTGGTGACCTGATGAAAACAACATCTGAGAGACAGCAGAGTCAAGTGCCAGCATACCCATGGCTCAGGTGGGGCCAAGATCAGAGCCAACACAGGGTCAGACTAGAGCTCGCACAGCACATGAAAGATGACACGCAGAGCACTCTCCAAGGAGAACATCCCCAGAGGAGCAACACTCAGTGGCTTCCTTCTCATCAGTGGCTTCCTTCTCAGTGGGTGTGCTCCAGTCCCACTAGATCTGAAGCACCACAGATCAGAGCAGAGCTCATTTCAGATCTGGGGCCTCTGTTCCTCCAATCAGGAAGCAGACCCCGCCACAGACAGTGAGAGCCACAGAGGAAAGGCGAAGCTGCCCTCAAGATCCGGGCAGGCTCTGGTCACAGTAGTAACAATCAACCCCCTCTCAAGGGCAGAAGGGCACAAGTCTCTGGACCGCTTCACCCACCAAGGGGAAGACACCAGAGCAAGAGGAACTAGGATCTGCAGCCTGCAGAACAGAGACCACAAACACAGAACATTGGACACGATGAGATGAAAAAGGAGTATGGTGCAGAGGAGAAGTCAAGATAGAAACCTACAGGAACAATGAAGCGAAGAGAAGTTGAGCAGTGTAATGAGTAATTTTTGCTTTAAGTAATCAAATTTACAAACAAAACGTTTTCACAAATGATAATTGCTACTAATTATTTAACCCACTTAACACTCAGGTTGTTATCTGAGCATGTTCTGAAAGAGTGTAAAATAGTAAATGCTATTGACCTAGAGCTAATCAGAAATAGATGGCATGAATGATAAAGTCCTGGGATGTTTCATAACAAACAAGATAGATTTAATAAGGTAAGAGTTCTTAACAAATCAAATGAGAAGTGAGACTTGAAAAATATGGTTAGAACACAAGGGAACTCGACTCAATGCTCTGTGGTGACGTGATGGGAAGGAAATCTAATCAAGAATGGAAATGTGTATATGTATCACTTATCCTTTCTCTATAGCAAACCTCACATAACATTGTAAAATAGCATTATTGCAACAGAAAAATTTCTTGTTAAAGATTTCTCTATCTAATCTATAAGCTTAATAGGGAAGAACAATCAGAAAAAAGCACTGTGGGAAATGTTCTAAACTCCCACGTGAATAATTTCTTTAAAAACTCTGTGAGTTAAATACATATATTAAAGCATTTTAGCATTAATGAATTGGAACAAACATACTTAACACATTTAATGTTAGTTCATATAAAGAAAGACAAGTTGTAACATAAAATTCAGATTTTCATTTTCTCATTTTAGTGAGGTGTCTTATGTGAAGAAGGAATTCATAGGGCCTGGACTCCATCTCAGGCCTGTCTGTGCTGATCGTGCTCGGCCACCTCACCAGTGGACTCTGAACTCTGCTTAGTGCCTGTGGGAACGACAATGGAAGGATAAGACCCCCTCCGGACAGGGGAACCTTGAAGGTCATATCCAGGTTACTCATCACCTAAGAGAGAACAGACATTAATCACCCCTGCCTCCGGACACTATCTATCAGAATGTAAGCACAGGTTATCGGTTATTAACTGGTTGGAAAGTAACCGTGGGCTTAATGATTATTAACTGTTTGAAGACATAACACGTGAATGATGTGGTTATTGTGCTTGTATTTACCCTTCCTTTGTAAGCATCAGGGATTGGGGTGGTGGGTTTGGACACGTACACATGGAGTATGAAAGATTTTCACAAATGATGGTTGGGGCCCTTGGCTAAGAGGAGACTCCCTCTTGGGCGCGCCAGTGTAATAAACTGCACTCCACTCTCTGCATTGGCCTACTGAGTGAGTTTGTTTCCCGGAAGGTGTGCCGATAACAATTCAGTGAAGAAAGAATTTGAGTATGATATTTCTAAGGTCACATGTGTAGTTTCCAGTGGACTGGAAATTATATGGCAGAAAACAAAAAACATCTGTCCCCAGTATTCCTAGAAGTTTGGCAGTTTTTTCACAGCTCCACCCACACACTTCTGACTAGAGACAGAATCAGCACTTTTAAAAGGGCTTAGTATAGTTACTCAGAAATATGCAGATTTTCCAAAACCTCCCAAAAATAGACGAGTTATCAGGTCATGCAGGTTGTTCCAGGCCAAGACAAGTATTTTGGTTCTAACTGTGAATGTGAAAATTAATCACTGGAGAAAAACACACAAATGATAAAAAGAATCAGGAATGGGTCAGGAGATGACGCTCTATGACAGTGACAGAAATAAACCTAGCCTAATCCAAAATCATCTCCACTGAAGCAGATCTTCTCAAACCACACGACAAAGTATGACTTCCTCCCCAATGCTTGTCCCTCTCACCCGAGTTATCTGCTTCATCCATAGACACATACCAGGGTGTATGGCTGTATCCATTCTCCTTATATCCCAGGGATCCTTCATTTGCTCCAGAAGCATGACCAGGTCTGGCTTAGAGACCACAAGACCTGTTCATCAGAAAAAGGAATATGTGTTTTCTGAGATAGTCATCAATTTCCAATCCAATATGGATTCAGCAGAGACAGAAGTCAAGGTAGAAAGTTAAAATAGCATTAAAAAAAAATGATCTCACCAGATAGTTAATTGGAAGCATCTTTAAAAGACAAATGCATCAAAATCAGATTCTGATATCATGCTCAAGTACCACTAAGGCAAAAGCAGGTAGTGGACTTCCAGTTTTAAGAGGAGAGTATCACTACTTGATACCACAGAACTTACAGAATTACCAAGAACCTACAATGAAGTATATGCAGGTCAAGAAACAACAGTTAGAATCGTACATGGAACAGTTGACTGGTTGCAGATTGGGAAAGGAGTACATCAAGGCTGTACATTGCCACCCTGCTTATTTAATTTCTA